TCTGCGCCCGCGGGGCCGCCCTGCGCCGTGCCGCAGCGCAGCGAGTAGTGTGCGGTCTCGGCCGTCCTGAGCCCGCTTTGCTGCTGGGCCGGGGCCGGGGCAAGGGGGCCGGAGCCGGGCAGTAGCAGCGTATTCCCCTCGCGAGTGCCGCTGCCCCCCTGGCGCCTGGAGGGGCTCGCGGCGGTACACGCCACAGCCAAGTCTGGGAGTTAGGAAATGCAGAGGGTCCTGGCTGGAGGGTCTCTCTCTCTCTCTGCTCCTCGGGGAGCGTGAAAGACAGTGGGAGACGCATTTGGACCTGGGGAACGCGGCCTGGCGTTGTCTGACTGTCCCAACTACATGGCTGGTCCAATAAAAGTGGTTGCCTTAAGAAATCCTTGCCACTTGCATCGCTTTTGGGCTGTCATGGCCATGACATCCTGCTTACAGGACCTCTGCCACTCAGGATCAGACACGGTCAGACTTGGCCTCAGGAAGGTACTGGTATTTTCCCCTAGGTCAAATTGGCATAGACTGGGCAACAGTCTGCAGAATAATGAATGGCACAGGGAAAGGAATGAGTTTATTTTCTCCTAACACAAGAGCTAACAAACACTCAGCCAAAACAACAGGTGACAAATTCAAACCTGATAACATGAACTTGCTACCACAGGAAGTCAGCGAGGCCAGGATTCAAAGGTGGACTGGATATTTTTATGAATAATAAAGTATCCAGAATTATAGTAATACTAAGACAAAAATTAAATAAAGCCAAGGCAATCTCTATCTATTAGGAGCTGGAAGGGGACTTTTGGTGAGAAGCTGACTATCCTACAGCTGCTTTTGCCAACAGCCCTTGAAGCATCCAATATTGATTACTACTGAAGATAAGACATGGACTATACAGAGCACAGGTGTGGTCTGATCTGGCATCTCCCATAGTCTTGTGCTAGCAGTTAGGTACCTAGTGTGCTGAGACCAATTCCCTCTGTGATTTCCTACACTTCCTCTGTCTGCTCTCTCTTGCCTTGTACTTTGGTTTATGGCCCTATGGTGGAGTGACCATCTTTCCCTTCTGGAATTGTAGAGTCCAGCCAGACAGGATCCTGGGGAATGGCTGAGACTCCTAGATGCTGTCACAATACAAATAATACGCTTTATAAGTTGTGGGAGGGCCAAGGGAAGCCTGGCCCTAGACACCCTTTCCTTTTGGCCCTGATAAAGCTGTTCTGGGCTGTAAGGGGGTGTATGTTTCAGTCCTACTGAACACAACTTGTCAGCTGCTAACATGATGTAGTGTGGATGCAGGCAAGCACCGCTTAAGCAAATCTAGTTCTCCATTGTTTTGCCACAATTCTCATGTGCCCAGGAATGACAAAACAGGTTTTCTCACAGTAAGATGGCAATGAATTCAAGACAGCCCATCTTGCTATAATGCTAAAAAGAACAGGATATACCCCAGTGTCATGCTTGAGTGGTTGCAGGGTTACTCACTCCCAGGCTGCATGAGAGGAGCACCCTGAGTGTATGTTAGCCTTTGCTGACCCCTTAGTGCCACTGTTGCAAAGCTAGCATATAGCCACCTCAGGTACATCTATTCTGAGCTGCAGTAGACGCACCTCAGGAGTTTTATCCAAAGCCCATGGAAATCAGGAGAAATATTTCTATTGATATAGGGCTTTGGGTCAGGTTGGAAGGGTCCATTTTACTGAAGGAGCCTATCTTTCCCAGTCTGTGAGTTATACCAGCCCACAGCAGTTACCAACTCTTGGAGGCCAACATCCTACAAGTCATGCTGTTTACATGGTGGCCCCTGGGCTGGGCAGGTTCATCCAGCCTTTGCCCATCAGTGAATGAGGTAAATCCAGGAGGAAGCTGTAGGTACTGGGATTCTCCAGGCTCAATTAAACCACCTTCAGACTTCTTCAGGGCTGAGGCTAGTAATGGGGACCTGTCAAAGTCAGGGGGGACAAGCTATAGCTGTGATGGGGATTGACAGGGGAGAATGAAGCTGGAAATAGGTCAGTTTTGACCTTCAAACTTCACACAAGCTAAGCAGGCAAGAGAGGTGAGGATCAGCTGGGTGCAGAGAGGTCTGCAATGTGGTAGATGACTGGGAGAGCAGCTTGGCCAGGCAGGATGGAGGATCTAAGCCATGTGTCTGGGCAAGAAAATTGGGGCTAAGAATGGAAGCTCCTGGAGAGGAACAGGAACCAAGGTTCAGCTCCCTCTGCCCTGCAGTGGCAGAGCTCCAAGGCTGTCTGGGCAGGCCCAATGTCACGTGACTCTGCAAGGCTGGACTTTGGGCTTCCCATGTTTCCTGATTTCTTGCAGAAGGGAGTGGAGGGCAAAGCAAGTCTCTCTCAGGGAAGGTCTGGTGTGGGTTTTGCTTCTAGCTGCATTGTCCTGCCTCAGGGACAAGCTGTTATGCCAAATGCAGGATCAGCACCTGCCAGTGTGCTACATGCAGAATGATACCACTGCTGCCCCTTGCATAGCCCCCACTTTCACATAGTTCCTTTGGCCCCTCACTTCCCAGCCAGCCTCCCAGACCTCCCCTCTTTCCTCCTCCTTTGGGTGTGCTGGAAGTGACCTCTGGTCTCCTAGAGTTATGGGAGGGCTGGAGAAAGAGTTTAACAACTCAGAAACCAGTAGATGGTGCTCAAGAATGTGGAGAACAGTTGCTGGGCTTGCAGGACCAATTAAATGTGTCCTGAAGGGCAGCTGGCTTCTCTGGCTACTCTACGTGGACCTCCTAGGACACAATCTGTCCCCTGCATCATGGAAAAAAAGGCTTCTCCACTGCAGGGTTGGTTGTTTCTGCACCCTCTGATGAGGTCAAATTTGCTCCCCAGGCACCTGCCCAACAGGCCTGGGACCCTGCCTGGCCTGCCTTACCTCACTTCTCACTGAGGAGTGAAATTTCCTGCGTCAAATGGCTGCTGCATAAGTGAACAGCAGACAAATGGCAGGTGTTCTGGGGGATTGCTGGAAGGGAGAGAAAGTCAGAATGGGTGTGAAAGAGTATTTGTGGATGCAGGTGCCTCTGTTCAACTGAGATAAAGGGGAGTAGGAGTGCGGAAGTGGATATGTGCAAGTGAAATGAGCATCCATGTATGCAATGGGATGTGTATGCCCTACTATGAGTGTGGATAAGTGGGTGGGTGTGGGAACATATGTTCAAGCATGCGTATGTGTGCTGCCAGACATGCCAATGGGGGAGTGTGAGGGAACATGTGTAGTTTGATGTGAGTAAATGTTTGCAAAGTTGTGTAGATGAGTGTAAAGATGGGAGAAGAGGTATGTGAATAGGAATGTATTCAAGACTAAGTATGTGTGCAAGGAGGTGTGAGTGTGTATGAGTATATACACAAGTGCAGGTGTGGGTATGAATGTGCTTATATGCATCTGTGAGGGGTGCAAGTGAGTGTTCAATGTGCATGCAAATGTGTAAGTGTGGAGGTATGTGTGAGTGGGGGAAAGGTCTGTGTATGAGAGGATTCCCTGCAGAGCTAGTTTTCACCTTACCCTGTTCCCCCAGATGTTCTCCTCCTCCCTCTCTGCCTTATGCCCCCTGAGCCAGCTAAGACAAGCCCACCCAGAGCACATCCCTTGTTGGGACCATCACAGCCTGGTGCGAGAAGCTGAAAACAGCCTGGTCTGAGCAGCAAAAAGCTACAGCTTTGCAGACTGGCTCAGAGGAAATGAGGGCTGTCTGGTCAGTGTCAGGAACAAACCCAGGTGCAAGCATGGCTCATTGGGCTGCATGATGAGCCTGTGGCCATCCAGCAGCAGAACTGGGAGCATCCAATTCCAGCTGTATTTTCCTGTCTCTTGCTGTTTCTTTCTCCTCCTTTATGCACTTTCATCTGGCTCTTCTTAAGATGAAACAGCCTTGGACAGAGCTCCAAGTTTCTTTTTTTTTTTTTCGGGGTTGCTGCTCCTCCCCCCGCCCCGGCAGCCTGGCTTCTCCCCACCCTTGGGCCTGGTCCTCCACCACATCTGGCCCAGGCCCACTCCTCCCTGCTCCCCACCACTGCAGCAGGGAGTGGGGGAGAGGGCCCAGACCCCAAGCAGCAGGAGGGAAGGGGAAGTGGGCCCAAATGGGGCCCACTCCCCACCCTTTGTCATTCTTGATGGGCAATTGGCTAGTATATATGTGTGTGTGTGTGTGTACACACACACACACACGCACACACACACACAGAGTATCCCGCATAAGCATTTCTACAGACAATTTAAAAATGCATTTAAAATCCACAAACCCATGACAAAGGCAACATCTGCACCCCCAGTCACCCATCCACAGTCCTTTCTATAACACAGTCTCTTAATTCTCACCACGCTGTTGGGGTGTACATTGTCCACCTATTCCCCGGCTTTGTTGTTGTCACTGTCGTTCTCACCGTTGCTTCCACTGCTGCTGACACTGCTGTTGTCATCACTGCTGTTTCGAGTTCCAGTTGTGTTGCTGTAATCTTCATTATTGCTGACCACTCCGCCTCTTGGATTAGAATAGCCTTTGCCAAGTGGAGTTGGCTGCATCTTCTCCATCCTCTCCCACTGCTTTCTGGTAGTAGGACTGGAGTTCACTCAGAAACATTTTGACACAGTCTGTTTCCTTGAGCTCCATGTGTCCATATACCAGTAGGTTTCTGACTTGCCACAGGGCAATCCTGACACAGAACATAAGATGGTTGAAGAGAGCTGTTAGGGACCCCTGATGTTTAGTCAGGTGTCCGAGCTGCCTCAGGCTGTTGGAGGGAAAGGTGGTCTACTAAGCAAAGTAATGGGTTGAAAACTGGGTTCCACTCCAGGCTCTGTCTCTGA